GTGAATGGTTGTGCTATATAAAGAATTTGTTTTGGTACATTATACACCTCTTCTTTAGGGGTGGAAGCTTTATTGGTGTACTTGTTGATTATGCTGGTTATTACTTTGATTGGAAAAATCATTCTTACTTAAATAACATTTGATGATGTTTATTTCTTTTCTGAAAGTTGTTTAGTTAAATGTTCATTATTTTAATTTATTATAGGATATGAAGGTTTTAATTTTCTTGTGTGATTTAGTTAGAAGACAGTGGTTTTAGTTGTCTTGTCTTTGGAAATTTAATTGTAAATTAAATTGCTTCTTGCTTTCCATAATCCATCTAATGTATGAGGACAACAGTTTTCAAGTAACAATTTCAACAGTCTGATTACACAGAAATACATAAGCATTTTGTTTGGTGACTTGATCGGAATGTCTTTTTAACCATATGAATATGGGTTGAGTGGAATCCACCCAGCTCGGAACCACAAATGTATCCATGAGAATAATTATACTATTATTTTTGATAATGTGTGTGTATCTTCAAAAATTTTCGCAGGTTATTGGTAAACATTACAAGGATTTTGTACACAAAATATCAGGTTTTTAAATTAAGTATTAAGGTCTCTTAATTAAAGATTTTTTCGTGAAATTTTGTTCTCTCAAAATGTTGACAATCCAATATGCAAAGTAATTTTGATTTTAAGATTAAAAATACTTTTCTTTGTCTGAAAGTTGTCAATATTCGTTTGTGCAATTTTTATATCTTCTAAATAACTATCATAATATTTTTTAATAAAACTTTATATTTTATCTGTTATTTTATCAAACTTAACTTTATATGGTGTTAGTCGATTGGACCGACCTCGCAAACATCATAAAATTAGGAAATAAATCTAAATTACCCTTTCTTTTGTTCTAGAAACCACAAATATTTATTCTTAATAGCTTAATTCATGCAACAGTATACATCTATTTATATTTATAATTTTTTGTTTTATTGACCTTTGAATCGTGTCTGACCAGAAATACCCCGACACAAGTTGAAAATTACGGGGAACACATCAGCTCACGTTGTCGTATCGAATAGCGTAACGTACAAACTTCTTGCTAGTATTCCCTATGAAGATTTTAATTATTTTTCTTTCATTATCTTACCAAATAAGTTTCTATTTTTATGATTTTAGTTAATTTTATAATAATAAATAAGTAAAACAAATGACCTCATAATTAAATATCAAACACTCTTTTCATTAAAACTTTATATTTTATCTGTTATTTCCTCTACCATAACATTAAACTTGATTCTCCAAGTTGTATAATGAAAATAAAGGTTGCAATGTGCAAAATAAAATATATAGTATTGTTATATTGATTGCAAAGTTTCAAAGAGTTCATACTTCTCACCTTTTCACACTTATTTTCTGTTGTAATTTTATTGTTAAGTGCTGACTTAGAAACTAGATGAAGCAGTATTGATAACTGATTTCCATAGTAAAAGTCCTGAGAGTTTCTTCCAATTTTTTCATGCCTACTTCCTATGTTTATTTACAATTAGTGGCTGAATTAGAAACCTGCTGAATATAAAGCAGTGAATCACTTCTCCTCACTTAATTTGACACTATGAAAATCAAATAAGCTCATGCTGCACAATTCCCTGAACTTTCCCTGCTTTGAAAACTTGAATAGGATTTAACAACATGTTGAAAATATAACGGTTTCAACAATAATTGTTTAAGGTATTATAAAATGTTTATGTTATGACATTGTAGAAAGTCTGATGGATGATCCAATAAAGCAATAAGCCAATGCATCCTGTGGAATCTATTAGAATCCCAGCTCCAAGAACACAGTGGGGTACAATTTGCCAGCTTCTTTACAGTACAGTGGTTGCCACAAGAATTTTCCAATGCACTTTATATAAGTGAGAAAAAATATTTATGATATGGTTCTGTACAAAATACAAAGTTGTATCCAATCTAATAAACTTGTTAAGTATTTGGATGCTAGTTAACTTCCTTGGTGGTCGAGATTTAGTGTTGATATAGGTGTAAATGTGTGTAAGTGCTTATGAACATCTTGTTTCCTATATTACCATGCTTACACAGTAACTAATAAATGTGTAGTTTCCAGTAATATAAATATGGCTCATTTTCATTGGGCTAGTGTTCTTGGCTTAGCCTTCTTGATTGTAACTTTAGAAACAAATTATTCACCAGCGAACTGCAAGTTGTACCATGTGTTTATGAAGTATTACCCACAAGCAAGTAAACTTGATTACCATAAATTACATATGTGTATATATATATATATATATATCTTATTAATATTATTTCCAAATAAATACTTAAATGTCAGTTATTTTTCTTCAAACATAGTACAATAGATAAAAAATATTTGGAAAACAATGATCTCTATTACTTATGATGCTACAAGGTTCTTGTTTGTACTGGTTAGCCATACTTGTTAAGCCTCATCCAAATTCACATGTAGAGATGGAAAAATAATAATTTTTATAAACTTTATGTAAGTATTTTGGAATACAAAAATTATAAATTACAATACTGATACCCCAAAAATCCACTGTAATTTATCAGGCTTTCTAACTAAATTGTATTTGGGTCTAAAAATATATAATTTCTATTCACAAAATAGCCTTGATCATAATACTTCAAACTTTCCAATGATATAAGAGCTTTCCTCTCATACATAACTTAGTAAAAGTGACAGAATTATGTAGAAGAAACATATAGCTTTTGATTGGTCATAAAGTTATAGGTATAAAAAAACAGGCATAGATAAACAAGTCTTCTTAAGTGATGAAGTGGTGGGTGGAGCCAATATGGTGGACTCAATAAATATTATGATATCTCAGCAAATATAAAAGGTAGGAGGTTCTTATTTTATATTCTAGCTTGTCAATATCGGAAATTTGAGTTTATAATTCATATGAAATTATAGACGTTGTATTGCAGGCATCATAAAATGTAATCTGACCAAAGCTAGAAGATGAAGTACCAGTGTGGCACACGCAAAAATTGATATTTAGCAATTTTGTTTATATTTACTCTCAAATTATAAGATTAACTAATGTATAATACTAAAATTTGAATTAAAATCTACAATTTTATACCAAGTCTATTGACAAACATTTGTAAAATAGTAGTTCAATAAAATTTTGAATGTAAATCTACAAACATGATGACATGCCCTCTACCCCTTAGCTACCCATAATGACTGGGTTAAGGAAAAACTTGAATATCTGTTTTATCCTCCTGCTGCTGTAGGTATGTGACAGTTGGATGGGAGATGAGTCTGGAAATCTTATCATGGTTAATCTATATCCAATTGGCTTAATTTCCAGATGAAGATCTTTCTTGATTATGTTGTGTATTGTTGCTTGGAGCTCATTAAAGGCTTTGCTACTGGCCTTTTCATTAATGGGGTCTCATTGTTACCAGATGCCACACTTTTCTTACCACACCTAGGGTTTGACTTGTCACAGGCCTTTTTTTAGTTGTTTATGGTACCCTAATTGATCCATATTCATTTGTTTTCCAATACTATTAAGTATAAAGTATTTCAAATTCTAAATCCCCGATCTGAACACATCCTTGTTAGCTGAGTGTATGAATACGTTTCCCAAAATAATCAGTTTGTTGGTGGCATTACTTTACCTATCATATAACAAATAATGTCAAAATGTAATTCTGTGATTGGCATGTGTCTTGCTTATTTGCATACTAAAACTCATACTATGTTATACTCAACCTTCTGTAGAATATTATCAGAATTTGTATGGTGGTGTAATGAATTTAAAAAAATAAGTGATCATGCAAACATCATAAATTCTCAAAATATTTGTATATTCCTTGTGATTATTTTTTCCTGAAAGAAAATGTATCCAGTACAATGTCAGTGATAAGTGTAACAAAGGTAAACTGTATTTCATTTGGACTTGAATGCAAAATGCTAAAATTAGATATTGGTATTAAATAATTAAAAGACCTTTTTACCCATAATTTCTATAGATATAAATCTGAATGATATATTTATTGACTGGGTATGGTTTATAGCATGTAATCCATTGTCTGTTGGAAAGTAATGGGATTATTTTCAAATTTGTGTAAAACACGGAAGTTATGTCTTTATATATGCATCTTCATAATGCTGACTTTACTTATGACTTTAGTGAGGCTTTTGAGCTGTAAAAAAGTTGCACTGTGTTGTAAATTACATAAGTTAAAAATAGTGATTTAATTTATGAAAATTGCATCAAAAATCTAATTGTAATGTAAGATGTTTAACCCATTTTGTACATAAAACATATCAGGCTGGTTCCTGACAAGTATCAATTATCCATCAAAAAACGAAATTAAGAATTTGATCTTTTCTAGTCTCTTATGAAGCTGTGGGGTAAATCTGCTTGTTGCATCAAATGGCAATAAATGTCAAAACAGATATATATCTGGTTGCTGCATTTTAAGAGTTGATAATACATAAAATCCTTAACAGCAGTGTGTCACCATTCTTTGGTAAAAAACTTAAAACTTACCAATTAATATGGTGTAACTTTAATTGCTCAAACTGGTATGATAATTAATCTTAAAGCTTCCACACTGGTATTAATTGCAGATTAAGAAGAGTTCTTAGTATTATAAACCTTTTTATTACAACATCCATAAACTACACTAGTTTGGTTCTGCTCTAATTATGATTTCCAACATAAAGAAGTACTTACTGTTGAAAATTTCAGGGTGTTGAATAATTTACATTTATTTTGTGTTAGAAGTGTTGGATGCATATACCAAACAATGGTGACACACTGTTGGATGCATGTGCCAAAGAATGGTGACACACTGTTGGATGCATGGTACTATATAAATACATAGTCTTTGAAAATGAGTTCATATCTGAGAATCTTGAAATAAATGTAAATAATAATTTTACTATTTATGTTAGACTGTGCTTTTTGAATTAGCCTGTCATCTGCTAATCTTATGATTTTTATATATACCTAGGTATGTATGGGAAGTCTACTTAGATAAAGAAGAATATGAATTGGCCAAACATTATTGTAAGGTAGGTTTGAAAGTATTCTATTAGGGTATTTGAATTAAAGAATTATTAGCTTGTTTTCACTTCACATATTCATTAAGTGTATGTTACTTAAAAACTAAAGTAGGACCAGGAAAAATAATCTAATTTTTTGGTATGAATAAATTATTCTAAAAGTTCTGATGAATCACTCATGTAATGAAATGTAAATCATGACTTCTGTTGAAAAATAATTTTGAAATTACATCATAATAAGATTATTCAAGTACAAAAGACCTTAATGAGGCACCTTCTATTAGTGTAACAGCTTTGATTTTTTACTGGTTGTTATAAGTGATTAGTGGGACACATCAGTGCTCAGTGTTAGGACCTTTGCTGTTTTGATTTACATCAGTGATGTAAATGAAGGAATGGTCAATAAGTTATTTAAATTAATCAATGTTATTAAGGTTTTGAGGGTTGTTAGCTGTAAGGGAGATTCTGCAGCATTATAAAGGAGTATGGATTATTTGGTGAGTTGGGCAAATAAGTGGTGTATGGGTTTTAATTATAATAAATAAAAGGTAATGCATGTGGAATATCATAATTTGAATTATGAGTATAATTTTTATGGAATAAAAGATCTTGGGCTTCTAGTTGATAAGTCTCTTAAGCCGTCCAAGCAATGTGCTGTTGCTAGTGGCAGGGCAAATAGGATTTTAGGTTATATCTAGAGAAATATTGAATACAAGTCTAAACAGGTAATAATTTCATTGTATAGGTCATTGGTTAGGCCACAATTGGGGTATTTGTTCATTCTTGCTTGCCTTGCATTGGGAAGGACATTCAATTGTTGGAAAGGGTTCAGATGAGGGCTACTATGACAGTACTGGGATGGAAAGAGTGTCATATGAGGTCAGCTTAAAATCTTTGTAAATGTTTTCTTTTCAAAAAAGAAACATTAGAGAGGATCCAATTGAGATGTTTAAGATTGTTAAGGGAATGAATAGTGTTAATGCATCATCTTTTTACACATTTGGTGAAATGGTAGGACTAGAGAACGTAAATATAAATTTTGTCAAAGTAAGGAGTTTTCTAACAATGTGATTGGCCTTTGGAATGTGGTGGATGCAGTTGATTTAAGGGTTTTTAAGGGAAGACTTGATAAATATGTGAATGATAAGGGTTGACTATGAGTGTTTTATTTTTATTTTAAGGCTTAGTTTAGTAGATGAGATGACCAAAATGGATCAACATGTCTCTTGTTGTCTTTCACTTGTATGTATGTATATGCATATTTTTTTCTAAGAATGTGATGCTACTTGAGGAGGACAGTTTATTATTACTTTATTCCTTTGTTTATTTAAAGAATAACTAATCTATAATGATATATGTCAATATTAATAACTTCAAATTAATTTTGTAGAATGACCCTCAAAAATTGGACAAGGTCTTATCAAAACAAGCTGATGACTACTACAGCAAGAGAAGGTAAGATCTGAGTGCTCTTGGGATACTTAGGTAAAGCTAGACTAAGAAAAGTGCATATTTTTCAAGATTGTATTCTAAGAACAGTTGTTTATCCTTCTACATAATGTTACTCATGATGAATTGTCACTAAAATTCATCTGCAATATTGCTTTCAAACACTGAGATATATAAATCATAATTCTTGATTGCCTCAAACATTAGAATTACCATGAAATCAAAGTGAAAGTAATACACACAACACATTGTATCAGGGTGTGCACATGTCCTTGAAATTCTTTAAAGTCATGTAAAATGAACTCAAAAAATTATCAGTGATAGAATCTTTGATAAACAGGTATTTTTCAATCATGGTCTTGGAAAAGTTCTGAAATGTTTGTTTTATTTTAAAATAATGAAGTTCTACAAGACATAATTAGATTAATTATAAAAAATAAAAGATTATACATCATGTTGGCTGATATGAATCGTGTGCTTGAGGAGACCTGAGACTTGCAATTTCTGCTGATGGGCACGCCTTATAAACAAAAGAAGCCAGGAAAATGTAACTTTAATCCTGACTAGCAGAATTTGATAGTCCTGGTAACTTGAGTATGGATCTTGGAGAGTCTTTGCATTTTCTTTTTTAAAGTCTGTATGAACCCTGAGATATGTAAGAGCTTTTCTTGCATTGTATATGCATGGTGATATAATAATTTATCTATAGTATTCTGTCACTTGGGGATAAAGGACTCCAGGAGCTTAAAATATTATGAAATTAGGAGTAACTGTGAGTATAAAATCTAAAATTCTAGTACCTTATAATTGCATCATTGTATTAAAAAGAATTACAGAAATTAAACTTATAGTTATTCTTCCAACATTACAAAAATATAAATTTATTCAAGTAAAAAAGTTTTCTTCATTTAATTTCATACATGAAATTTTTAAAAACTGCATATTTTGATTTTGGGTTGATTTCAACTTGCTTTAATTGAAATCATTAGTGTTTGTGAATTTCCTTAATTTTTTCTAAGTATAAAATAACAATAGTAGCCCCATGATAAATTCCATAATATTTTTGAACAAATTAACACTGATTTTACCATATAACTTGAATGCAAATGTATTTTTTATCAACTTCTCAACACCTGTTGTCATGGTGTGATATAATTACCAATATCTCATGTTGTAGAAGGCAAGTGTCCTAAACCTGTAATAAAATCTCTCTTTTTTTGTTATTTTGAAATGTATAAGTCAGTGTGGTTTCTAGATTAGGGAGATTTATGTAGAGATCAGAACAGAATGATAGAAGATTAGCTGTGATGTGTTGCTAGGAGAAAAAATGTTTGTGAACAATTTCTAGCACAATTAAAGTCCTGATTTGTTTTATAAAAAGCTTTTGAAAAACTTGGTTTATCATTTCACCCTTCATTTGAATTATGATTTTGCAGTATGGTTGGAAAAGAAATGATTTTCATTGAACAAGATGAATTAGGCTTAATTAACCCTATCAAAATGATATATGAAGATTGTTAGTATGTTACGTAACTATCATGAATTTTATTTACAAAAATGAAACTAGTGGATGAAGTTGTTTAAAATTTGATAAGAATTTTTTAAAAGTATGTAGTTTCAGAAAAATTAAATGCTTATATTGATTTTTTCTACTATTTCTAATAAAAATTCGTTATTTAATGTAGTTATTTCTACTCTGAATAGTTCACCTGCAATGTGATTTTCATTTTGAGTATACAAATACCATTTATTATTTTACAGTTTTCACATTTCATTTGCATAATCTCTAAAACCTCTTATATGAATATCTAAAGTATTTTTAAGGTGAATATATTTTATTTTCCATTTTCTCTTCTATATTACTAACTCTAGGTATTATCATCAATGTACAGTGCAATGAAATGTTTAAAATTAAGAAATGGAAATATGTGCTTACATTTGTAGAATAGTCTTAAAATATCTTCTTTGGGTCATATGCATAATTTCACATCTTTATATTTTCACTAATAATTTAATTTTAAAGCTTTATTTTCGTTTCCTGTTCTTTACCATTTATTAGTTATGCTGACACACATCAACGGGTACCTGCGGGTGATAGAAAGGTCTGAATGGCAGAGATACTTTAATCTCCAACAAAACTTTTTGTTATTCGCTTGGTAATATAAGCCTTGTGGAGTGAAACGAAGCATTTGTTTTATGAAAATTATTAAAACTTTCAAATATGAATTTTAAAACACAAATAATGCATAATTAACTAAAATAGAAAAGTAAAGCTTAAATACAATTTAACTGTGTATCAAACTAATACATATAAGTAGAGAAAAAAATAGCAAAGTGCTAGGGAAGACTATCTTCAATAATGGACTTTGATATGATATATCCATTCACAACTCCAGTGCGCATGCTCCTAGCATCACGTGACTTCCTTGATAACTTCGCTCTATGCGACGACTGCAAAACACACACAATTTACAGCTCAATGTCACTACTGTTCGGTTGACTCAATTATCTATATATCTCTGGCTTTCTTTTCCAGGCTTGTATATTAAAAAGGAGGGCATCTCAATCAGACTAGAGTTGCTGGGCAAGTTCATAATCCTTCAAGAAACTCCAGCACGCATGCTCGTAGCATCACGTGACTTCCGCTGTGGTAACAACTCCTTTCATCAAAGTCCACACAGACAGGTTCAATTACTTTAGAACACCTTTTTACAAGACAAATTATTCTCCTTATTTCTATTAAACTGTGAAACTCACTTTAAGATATCACCCATTAAGGCTAATCATTCATCCGCCAGCTAACTTCACATTTTCTAACTTTTTCTGACAGAACTTTACTTGACTTTCACTTGGTTGCCTATATTTATAGTTGTTCACTGAGGCCTCAATCTTTCTATAAATTCTACGAGCGATGCTATAATGTAACAATATTCACTTAAGATAACAAGAAAAAAATATTCGAGTCATGTGATGTCAACAATATTAATGAAGCCTAGACGACAGTGTAATTGCAAACACAACGTACGACTCGTATAGAGTTACGAAATGAAATTTGTCACAACTAATACTTTTAAAACAATCAATCTTCAACACTCATATCATGAAACTAAACAATCATTGAATATTAAGTCACAAAATAAACTAAATAATAACACTTACACTAAACAGTCTTTTATATTCAACAGTGAGTAGCTCGTGCGTAATATAATTAGATAACATAACATGAGTTGCACGTTTGCCAAGGAGTTAAAACTTATAATGGTGTGAATAGTAGTTAGATAGGGTTCAAAGGGAAATAAAACAATAAAATTGAAGTATAAATAGATGTATACTGTTATGAGTGTAAAGCTATTTAGGATAAATAAAGGTAGTTTCATGTTACAATTTGAAATCACTTCAGAAAGAAAAAAGAGAGTAATTTAGATTTGTTTCAATTTCTTTTTTGGTGGTTACAAGGTCGGTTAAATTGACCAACCTTGAATAAAGTTATGGTAGAAAAAAATAGCAGGTAAAATCTAAATTTTTGTTCATAAAAATGTTTGAAGTTTATTTAGGAGGTTTTAGAGATTACACAAATATAATTTGAGATTAAGAAAAGTATTTTTATTATAATGTGGAAATCACTTAACACTCGGACTAGCACATAGAAATACTATGTATATTCACGGACAAATCTTTAGTAAAAATACTTCATTAAAAAAATCTGATTTTTTTTTTACAAAAGACTTATAATGTTTACTAAAAGCCTGCCAAATTGTGCAAAGATACACAAAGTATATTAAAAGTTATAGTATGAAAACTATAATGAGTATAAAATGGTTATGAGGTTAGTCAATATGACCAGCCAGAGAATTAAACAAAACTTTTTTTATTCGCAACTTTAAAAAAGGACAGCTTGCTTGTAATTTTAGTACTGTAAAACAGATATTTTTGTTATATGCCAATAATCATAAACACAGTGAAGTAACATGCACTGTTTTTCAAATCAAAACAAAAATATAATTTACAGTGGTATGAAATAAAAAGTTTTACAAGAATAAGTGGGAATAATCAGCACATTTGCAATGTTTATAATGTAAGTAATAATTAAAATACAACATTTCATATTAACACAATTAACTGTCTCACTGTGGGCTCAGTCAGTTTTGTCGAGTTCATGATCTGAAATTGAGTTTCCATACTATACTTTCTGTATCTTCATGAAATTTTGCAAGCTATCAGTAAACATTATGAGATTTGT